TGATTTTTTTCAAATTTATTTTATCCACAACTGCATACTTTTGTCCTCAGTGTTATATAATTAATCTTGTGGGCGATACGAAAATAATCGAATTATATGAGAATAGTTTACGCAATTTGAGCAATTATCTGTTTAATATAAAAGATGGGAAATAGCAGTAACCATGGTAACAAGGCAATGTTGAGTATTTCTGATAGAGTATGACTTACACATTTTCTGTGTCCAACTTTTCAACTCTCTTGGTAAGTTATGAACAGTAATACCAAATTCAGTTGAAATGTTCATTACTTATAATAGTTCAATGCAATGGGGAAACATTTTGTAAGCGCTAAAAACTGGAATACCGTTCAGCTCAGCGTAAAACCTAACTCCCTCGCTCTCTAAAGACTGTTAATGTTTTCAAACTCTTGTCTTGTTAATTTGAATGTCTTCTTCACGGATGGAACGACCAAAGGTGTACATTTGGGAATACACAAAATCGGGGATTAAGAGGTGTTTTCTGAAGTTGGTGAACGGTGGAACTAAGCGAAGGAAATGGATTGAACCTCGGTTGATAAGGATGAGGGATGGATAGGTGCATCAGCTTGAGTGGGACAAGATTGGTGTGTCAGGGTGATGGAGATAGGAGATGGATAGGGTGTGTCAGGGTGATGGAGATATGAGATGGATAGGGTGAGTCAGGGTGATGTAGAAAGGAGATGGATAGGGTGCGTCATTGTGATGGAGATAGGAGATGTATAGGGTGAGTCAGGGTTTATGGAGATAGGAAATGGATAGGGTGTGTCAGGGTGATGGAGATAGGAGATGGATAGGGTGAGTCAGGGTGATGGAGATAGGAGATGGATAGGGTGAGTCAGGGTGATGGAGATAGGAGATGGATAATGTTAGTCAGGGTGATGGAGATAGGAGATGTATAGGGTGAGTCCAGGTGATGGAGATAGGAGATGGATAGGGTGAGTCCAAGTGATGGAGATAGGAGATGGACAGTGTGTGTCAGGGTGATGGAGATAGGAGATGAATAGGGTGAGTCCAGGTGATGGAGATAGGAGATGGATAGGGTAAGTCAGGGTGATGGAGATAAGAGATGGACAGTGTGTGTCAGGGTGATGGAGATAGGAGATGGATAGGGTGAGTCAGGGTGATGGAGATAGGAGATGCATAGGGTGAGTCAGGGTGATGGAGATAGGAGATGGATAGGGTGAGTCCAGGTGATGGAGATAGGAGATGGATAGGGTGAGTCAGGGTGATGGAGATAGGAGATGGATAATGTGAGTCAGGGTGATGGAGATAGGAGATGTATAGGGTGAGTCCAGGTGATGGAGATAGGAGATGGATAGGGTGAGTCCAAGTGATGGAGATAGGAGATGGACAGTGTGTGTCAGGGTGATGGAGATAGGAGATGAATAGGGTGAGTCCAGGTGATGGAGATAGGAGATGGATAGGGTAAGTCAGGGTAATGGAGATAGGAGATGGATAGGGTAAGTCAGGGTGATGGAGATAGGAGATGAATAGGGTGAGTCCAGGTGATGGAGATAGGAGATGGATAGGGTAAGTCCAGGTGATGGAGATAGGAGATGCATAGGGTAAGTCCAGGTGATGGAGATAGGAGATGGACAGTGTGTGTCAGGGTGATGGAGATAGGAGATGTATAGGGTGAGTCCATGTGATGGAGATAGGAGATGTATAGGGTGAGTCCATGTGATGGAGATAGGAGATGGATAATGTGAGTCAGGGTGATGGAGATAGGAGATGGATAGGGTAAGTCCAGGTGATGGAGATAGGAGATGGATAATGTGAGTCCAGGTGATGGAGATAGGAGATGGACAGTGTGTGTCAGGGTGATGGAGATAGGAGATGTATAGGGTGAGTCCATGTGATGGAGATAGGAGATGTATAGGGTGAGTCAGGGTGGTGGAGATAGGAGATGGATAGGGTGAGTCAGGGTGATGGAGATAGGGAATGGATAGCGTGAGTCAGGGTGATGGAGATAGGAGATGGATAGGGTAAGTCAGGGTGATGGAGATAGGAGATGGACAGTGTGTGTCAGGGTGATGGAGATAGGAGATGGATAGGGTGAGTCAGGGTGATGGAGATAGGAGATGGATAGGGTGAGTCAGGGTGATGGAGATAAGAGATGGAAAGGGTGAGTCAGGGTGGTGGAGATAAGAGATGGATAGGGTGAGTCAGGGTGATGGAGATAGGAGATGGATAGGGTGTGTCAGGGTGATGGAGATAGGAGATGGACAGTGTGTGTCAGGGTGATGGAGATAGGAGATGTATAGGGTGAGTCCATGTGATGGAGATAGGAGATGTATAGGGTGAGTCCATGTGATGGAGATAGGAGATGGATAGGGTGAGTCAGGGTGGTGGAGATAGGAGATGGATAGGGTGAGTCAGGGTGATGGAGATAGGGAATGGATAGCGTGAGTCAGGGTGATGGAGATAGGAGATGGATAGGGTAAGTCAGGGTGATGGAGATAGGAGATGGACAGTGTGTGTCAGGGTGATGGAGATAGGAGATGGATAGGGTGAGTCAGGGTGATGGAGATAAGAGATGGAAAGGGTGAGTCAGGGTGGTGGAGATAAGAGATGGATAGGGTGAGTCAGGGTGATGGAGATAGGAGATGGATAGGGCGTGTCAGGCGATGACGAACTATCAGTGTTTTCGAGGAAGGCATGTATTTGAACTACAATGTGTATTGTGTCTGTGGGTGGGTGGGGGGCATGCGTGCGTGCGCGCTCGAATGGTGATTGTGGGGAGGGGGGATTGGGCAAGTGAATGCTGTTTTACGCCACAACAATGGCGGCGTGTTTTTTTTGTTATGAACGCTTGAAATAAATGTTTGATTTCTCATTTGTGGTCCACACCACCCGTGACATATTATCAGGCAGACCACACATTGCGACTACCCGATCCTCATGTGAATCAGGTCAGTATAGGGTTGGGGACATCTTCTGACCAAGAGTCCTACCGGCTACCACCATTTAGGGTGTGTCTGAGGATGTACGGGCGGCCGTAGACATGCATAGTTAAGAAGAGTTGTGAATTTGGGCCTGGATAAAATTTAGATTTAGATCATCGGTTCTTTTATAGGGTGTCGATGTTGGATTGAGGTCGTTGATCTGCTATCATGTACTCTGATATTCAGCGTCCGTTGCAACGCTTGAAATACACAACCTGTATTTTGAATGACCCTCAAGTGTCACACAAAAGGAGCTGTGGCGAGAAAGGAGAGGAACTGACTCCTTCTCATATCTGACCTCTGACCTGCCTGTCAGCAGACGATCAGTGGCAGGCGACGAGAGAGGTTTGCACTAAGCAGACGACAGTGCATAGTCAGTTCTTTGACCGGAAGCACTACAACGAAGTGAACCGATTTTACCTAGGTTCGAAACACATTGTCTTTTTCTTGATCTCCATGGATGTTAATGCGTAATTTTCACACAGGAAGATGTTTCAAGAAATTCAACATCCCCAACTCAGAAAATCCTGTCTTAGATTCAAGAATAAGGAGTGGTTGAGACAGATCCGCGTTCACACTGCCTCACCTCGACAACTTCCCCCCCCGAGTGTTTCCGACGAGAAGTCAGATGCTTCCGGAATATGACGAAGGACCATCGGACATTTGAAAGCATTTCGATACAGACGTCAGTTCAGTTCGAGAACACGTCACCACATCTGAGGGCGACTCACGAGGCAGACGAAAACACTATATATACATATATATATACTTACAAAATACACTGCCTTGCGTGGTTGAATTGTATCCTAATTTGTAGCCTATTCTAAGAGTATTAAATTTATGATTTATATAAAGCCTCTTGTCATCTGGAATATCGTCTGACGTCAGAGTGTATACCTTTGGAACATAAGCCTATAAATACATGGATATTATATTTCTCAAGACAATATGACAGGGTTACATAAAATTTGACATGTTTAACATTCCCAACTTATTTTACATTCACGGTATGGACATAGCGCGTTGCTTTACCAAATCAAAATGCTTTAAATCGTCAGTTGATACGTTGTGACATTATTGTTTATACCTATCCAGGTTTAAAACACCCATCCTAACGTAGAAAGGACTTCCGTTTCATTGAATCATTAATCATCTCGATAAAATACGGATAAATTTCAATTTGTTCCATACAATAAAACTAGAGTCGCCTCAAGACGTCATGCTTTCATTCAGAGCCTACCATTGTAAATGCGGGTGTTCTTGTGAAATGATTTTAAGATTTTAAGCTTTCTCTATGTATTCTGTTGCCTGAATATCCATACCCTGCGAAGTAACAGGCGATAGTGTACGGAGTTTGTGTGGGTGGGTGTTCGGTATTTGTGGGGATGGATGTGAGTCGAAGTACGGGTGGGTGTAGGTTGTACAGATGTATTAGAATACTAACTATACAGTGCGTGGGGGTTCCGAGGAAGAACAGAAACCGATGTCCTACGTGTCCTGTAAACGTGAAGATCCGGGGAAGAATAGGTCTTCCGCAGCCCATGCTTGTCGTAAGAGGCGACTCACGGGATCGGGTGGTGAGGCTCGGTGACTTGCTTGATGCATGTCATCGTATCCCAATTTCGATGCTAATGATGTCAATCACTGGATTGTCTGGTCCGGACCGCCGTCATATAGCTGGAATATTGCTGAGTGGGGCGTTAAACAGCAAACAAACGCGACCTTTGTGTCCTACGTGTCCAATGCGTCCTTTGTTCCTTATCACTTTGTGTCATATTTGTTCTACGTGTTCTATGTGTCCTTCGTGTTCTATGTGTCTGTCTGTTCTATGTCCTTCGTGTTCTGTATACCCTTTGTGTTCTATCTGTTCTACGTGTTCTATGTGTCTATCTGTTCTATGTGTTCTGTGTCCTTCGTGTTCTGTATATCCTTTGTGTTCTATCTGTTCTACGTGTTCTATGTGTCTATCTGTTCTATGTGTTCTGTATATCCTTTGTGTTCTATCTGTTCTACGTGTTCTATGTGTCTATCTGTTCTATGTGTTCTGTGTCCTTCGTGTTCTGTATATCCTTTGTGTTCTATCTGTTCTACGTGTTCTATGTGTCTATCTGTTCTATGTGTTCTGTGTCCTTTGTGTTCTGTATACCCTTTGTGTTCTATGTGTCCTTCATGTTCTATGTGTCCTTCATGTTCTATGTGTCCTTCATGTTCTATGTGTCCTTCATGTTCTATGTGTCCTTCATGTTCTATGTGTTCTTCATGTTCTATGTGTTCTTCGTGTGCTATGTGTTCTTCGTGTGCTATGTGTTCTTCGTGTGCTATGTGTTCTACGTGTTCTATGTGTCTATCTGTTCTATGTGTTCTGTATATCCTTTGTGTTCTATGTGTCCTTCATGTTCTATGTGTCCTTCATGTTCTATGTGTCCTTCATGTTCTATGTGTTCTTCGTGTGCTATGTGTTCTTCGTGTGCTATGTGTTCTACGTGTCCTATTGGTTATATGTGTTTTAGGTGTTCTTGGTGTCCTGCGTGTCCTTCGTGTCCTATGGGTCCTACGTGTCCTATTGGTTATATGTGTCCTATGCGTTCTATGTGGCCTATGCTTGTCGAAGGAGCCGACTGAAATAAGGATTGGGGGGGGGTAGCAATGATCTACCGGGTGCCATACAATGTGTTAAAGGCGACTATGCAGGTCGTAAAAGGCGATTAACGGGATCGGGTGGTCAGGCTCCCAATTGCGCGGGTCGATGCTCATGATATCAGTCACTGGATTGTCTGGTCCAGATTCGATTATTTACAGACCGCCGTCATATAGCTGGAAATTGCTTCAAACCAAGCCAACCAACCATACAATGTCACAGGTCACAGGAGTTTGTCCCGAATTTACAGGCCCCCTTGATATGGTGGAAGTTTATAAGATTGTTTTTAATTTAATGTCCCTTCTTGCCGTTTACATGGCTGGCTCGTTGATCAGCGTAGCGCAATACAGCATTGTGTGTGTGTGTGTGTGTGTGTGTGTGTGTGTGTGTGTGTGTGTGTGTGTGTGTGTGTGTGTGTGTGTGTGTTATTATATGATAGTCACGTGAACTAGTGAAACTAGTTAATCCAGGTCCCTTGCGGGTTCACCCCAATGCTGTCAGTGATAACCTGTGGAATTTCGGCGACGTCCTCCGTAACATGGGATCGGTTCATAAAAAACCCTAACATTGTTCCACTTTAATTGACTGTATATATGTTCTGACACGACTGACGTGACCCTGTTAGAATATGTGTGAAACTAGCCGATAAGTGGACACAACAATGACCATCAGACCCTTAACACTGACCTTTTGACAAAGCCTGACAATTGAGGGCACATTCCCCCTTGTTCACGACTGCCCAGACGAGCGTTCATTCCACAGCACCCAGGGACAAAGTGAGGGTGCGAGAACTCAATAGCCGATTGTGTTTTAACACACTGTCTCATGTCCCTTTCAGCATCTGTGTTCATTGTTGGAGAAGAAAATATAGTGTCACTTGTGTTACCAGCATGCGTCAATTGCCTTGTTTCGTTGAAGTGTGCACGTACTTACGCGGGTCGTGAGAAGTATACAAATACGAGTATCGCCAATGTGTGATCTTATCCTGTAAGATTTGTTTTTATTTGTGTGTTTGTTGTTTAACTCCGCACTCAGCACTTGACCAGACAATCCAGTGATTTACATCATGAGCATCGTTCCACGCAATTAGGATACGATGACATGCATCAACCAAGTCAGTGAGCCTAACTACCCGATCCCGTTAGTCGCCATTTTACGGCAAGCATGGGTTGCCGAAGACCTATTCTACCCCGGATGTTCACGGATGTTATGGTAATAAATAACGAATATCTGTATTCCAGAATCACAACCCATATGCTCTCCACACTATATTATTTATCTCGTGTATGTGAACATATTACGTCTCAAAGAGAGACAGGTCAGCCGTAATCTGGAGGTGGAAAGAGGCAGATGCACCGACACGCAAGGTAGACGATGTAGTACGCTTTCTTCTGTACTGTCCGAATTATAGTTATGGAAGACAGCTACATCGTCAAACACACAGATTTATTAAATTGTCCAAATGATATCATTTTTTGTTGTTGCAAGAATCTTGAATCCTTGTTCTGACAAAGAAAATCTGTTACAAAAATTATCTCTGATTTATGTATAAAAGTACCTCATCTTTCAGACAACGCTAAGAGTGAGTCAGCGCGTATGGTTTTGCGCCGCTTTTATCAATATTCCAGTAACATCACGGTGGGAACACAAGAAATGAGTTTCACATATTGTATCCATGTCGGGAATCGAATCCGGGTCTTCGGCGTGATGAACGAACGCTTTAACCACAAGACTACCCCACCGCCCTTGAGACAACCCTTAAACAGGAAAATTAACGCCAGACAACTCTTAGACATGAGGTTTATCTTTCATACAACTATTGTGACTTATCAATACTGCATTGTACACTAAGTGGAGGCTGCCAGTCACCTTAAGATATATATAAACCTTTATGTATCGTGAATGCAAAAAATATGTAATATCTCTATGTATAATGTACATTATATTATATTTGCCTTCCATGGCTATAGTTATATGTACTCCCAAATTAGCTGGTTTGTACCCTGCCCTAACTTTGAGTCTGTTCTGTACAATAATATTCTTTATTCTTCGTCAGCCGACATTGCTGAGTCAGAAGGCGACCGATAAAACACTTAAAGCAACAACACCGTAAATATTATAGAAAAATCAGATTCACCTGAAATTGTAGTTATTATAGTTTTTAATGAATATTCGTACGGTTACGACCCGTGAAGATTCCGGGGTAGAATAGGTCTTCAGCAACCCATACTTGCCGTAAAAGGCGACTATGCTTGTCGTAAAAGGCGACTAAAGGGATCGGGTGGTCAGACTCGCTGACTTGGTTGATACATGTCATCGATCACAATTGCGTGGATCGATGCTCATGATGTCAATCACTGGATTGTCTGGTCCAGGCTCGATTATTTTACAGACCGCCGTCAGATAGCTGGAATATTGCTGAGTGCGGCGTTAAACAACAAACAAACAAAATCGTACGGTTACATTCCTTTTTAAAAGAAGCTTTTGTGAAGCCGTGAATATTATGTAGTAGTTTTTTATACCACTGTTTATTATAACAATGTTATAGAATTGTTTTGTAATCAGCAAATAAATGGGGGCGAAGCTGATTCTGAATAAATCATGACGTTTTGAATTCTGACTTGCAAAACACAAACGCTTATTTTATCTAAAACGTGTTAGATATTCAGCTAAATGTGCTAATTGCACACGTTGCTTATGCACAAGAAAACTATATGATAAATTAAAAAAACGAATGCACTTACATCATGTCTCTAGGCAACAGCAACGGCTTGGCGCGGAAGTTGGCCATGTTCGTATCAAGCTGTTGACAGGTGTTTCACAAGAAAACATGCATGTCTCGTTGAGACATTTATTTTGTACATAGGTTGTTCACGTGTTCTATCTGTTGTGTTGTACACGTTAATTGATAGCATTGTCTCCCTTGGCTCATGGTCAGGAGTTGCTGATCCTACGGTAACTTCTCAGTCTGCCTACATCTCAATCTGCCTACACTTTTTTGTAGGCGGACTGAGTGTAGTGAAATGCTATCTTACCTGGTGAAAAATGGAATGGTCCACAATGTAACAGCGAGAGAAAAGGAAGATGTTGCTTTATAAATGAAATTGTCTACAATTTCACAGTTTAGAATAAGATGTTGCTTTACATACATGTGGTATCAACAGTAGATTCAAAAACAACATCGGCCGCACGGCCTTTCAGACACAAAATAATTTAAAGGTTAATGTGAGACATGCCAATGTTTCTTTGTTTGTTTTGGTTAGTTATCAAAATACTTTATTGAGTTTCAATGCCTTCTCAGTTAGAAGGATTAACCAATTAACTCAGAGATCAAACACTTACTTATCTACTTTGTTTTTATTAGTTAATCCTATTCACACTTTTACTCACATTGTTAACCTATTACTTTATTTCAAGGAGTATTTTATTCTAAAAACCCTGAAATAGTATAAAGGGGTGTGTAAAGCTTTGGTGTTATGATGGCTGCGTTACAGAAAGTTGAGTTCATCACTTCTCAGGCTGGAGGTCAGCAAGTCTTGTTTGGAGGCTTCAGGTATCGCCTGAACAACCGCCGACAGACTGCAACTCACTGGAAGTGTGTCTGTGCTAACTGTCTTGGCAAAATTAGCACAGTTGGTGAATTTGTTCGAAATTCATCCCCTCACAAACACAAAGTTTTTGAAGACGACTCAACCTTACGCCTCATGAGTAATCTACGGAGCCGAGTCAAAGAAAAAGAAGCCCATTTTCAGATTCGAATGTGGAACCAACACAACAATAAAGGGCCGGGAAAAAACAATGACCTCGAAGCAGGCATTCACGCCTGAATAGAAGCTTAGGAAACGCCTTTTAAATTTATATGAATTTGTATCTAAATTGAAGGTATTTGAGAAGATTGACAATATTCGAAGAGCTCAACTTCAAACACGGCGGCCAGCAAACTCCCCGAAGGAGAGTATACAGAGACTTAGACTCGCGTCTTCAGACACTGAAAGTGAAGCTTGTGCAAGGACAGATGTCCTCAATGAACTTCTTAGATGCTGCCAGCCACCTGTTGAAACTGAAGATGTGAACTGTGAACTAAGATGACGATGTGAACTATTGATAGATCTGGGCCCAATTTCTCAACACAAAGTTTTTGCTATTAAATAACATTAAATACTACACATTCTTTTTTGTTTGTCTAACAGTCTGGACACTGTTATTATTGAAATAGGGGTGTTCTCATTGTGCCTACACTTTAATTTACAGTGTAGGCAGACTGAGATGTAGGCAAACTGGGAGTGAACCGATCCTACTATATCCCTCATATTGACCAATCAGATTCCACCTCTCATATCACTTGTATTTGCTTCAAACAAAATGGCGGCCCCCAACCAAGATGACCTAATCAGAGACCATATCTCGGTATATGGCCTCTGATCTAATCGATAAATCAATAAAAAATAAGAAAACGGGCCTTACCACGCGAAGTGCATCAATCACTTGATCGAGTACCTTGATTAAGAAAAACATGAAAGGATTTGGAAAATATATGTCGACGTTGATGCTCTGCAAATCCTTGCTTTTTTTCACTCACTCACTCACTGAACCACTCAGTCATCATTGTTTGAGATCCTACATAGGTATATTTAAAGGTTTGACGTGATCCTAGCTCGAGGCGAGATCCGTCAAACTGACCAGCATTGACCTCCCATGAATTATGTCTCTACGTATAATTTTACACATCTAAACCTCGACAAACGACGCCAGGTCATTTGCTTAATACAATTTGCCACCTGCGACCATCCCTTGTATTGTGACCTTACACGAAAAAGACCAATGAATTCCTGTCCAAGGACGTGAGAAAATCCCACCTCAAATTTACAAAACGAATTCACTTGACACTCTTCACAACGATCAGATGACGACAAAGTCAGTTTTAAACTAAGCAGAGATAATGGCCCACGTGTTTCTGTCCACTGGATATGCACGCTTACAGAGCGTTCC